TATGTATGTATGTATGTATGTATGTATGTATGTATGTATGTATGTATGTATGTATGTATGTATGTATATATATGGTTCCCGTGAAAATGCACCTTGTGGAGAGAAATGAGAATAAATTCTAGCCGTTGGATCTGATGCATCGTGCGGCTCAGATTGCATCTTGCGCTCAGATTTTGAGATAGTTCATTTTCGAACGATTTTGGTGCATTTCGACGTGATGCATTTTAAAACCAATTTGGTGCATCTGATTTTGATGCAATCTTGGGCCTTAGATCTCCCAATCTAAAACACCAGATTCATTCTCATTTCTCTCCTAAGATCGTATTCTCACCCGAACATATATATATATATATATATATATATATATATATATATATATATATATATATATATATATATATATATATATATATCTATCTATATATATATATATACACACACACACATATATATATACATATATATATACATACATATATATATATATACATACATATATATATATATGTATGTGCTTCGGTCAGATGACACAAAGCTCACCACTAGTCACTACAAAACTCACCAAACACAACTACAAAACTCACCAAACTGTAAGGCAAGCTCACCATATTCTTTCAACACTTTGAATTTTTTTTGAAAAAATAAAATCAAAGGAAAGGGTGCTGACTGGACTTTGACTGTTGACTGCTAGCATTGACCGCCGCCAGCCGCCGTCGCCGGACTCCGGCAGCCACCGCCGGTCGCCGCCGCTGGCCGCCGGACTCCGGCCGCCGTTGACCGGTGTTGCTATTTTATTTTTAATTAATTTTTTAAATTTCAAAATTTAAAAAAAGTGAGTTTTGGTATTCAAAGTGGTGAGCTTTGCTTTATTTCCAGGTGAGCTTTCTAGTGTAGTGTGGTGAGCTTTGTGTCATCTGACCGAAGCATGTCATCTCACCGTAAGGTGACATCTCACTAGAGTCAATCCATATATATATATATACACACACACACACACACACACATACATACATACATACATACATATATATATATATATATACACACACACATACATAGATATATATATGTGTGTGTGTGTGTGTGTGTATGTATATATGGATAGATATAATTGTTATTTTAGTTACACTAAAATATATTCCGTATATGAATATCAAATGTTAATTTTATTTAATTCATGATCAAAATTGATCAACTCTGATGGGTGTATTCCACCCACGACCGGTCAAATGAGAAGACCAATTAGTTGACCGGTCAATCTCAAAAGTTTTGGAAGGGAGACTTAAATCGTCAGCAAAACGATATATCATCGGCCAAAAGATGACCGGTATACTTCACGAAAAAGTATACCGGTCAAACTACGTTTTCATCCTATTTATTCCCAGACTTCGATGAATTCATCCCTCGAAGATTACCCGGTGTAGTTTCTAGGGTTGAAAAGTGTCGGCAGAAGAGAATCTACGAGGGCTTGGCGTGTAGCGACCCATGTCAGTAGAGGACAACTAGAGATGCTGAAGAATCCATCCAAGGCACTACTCGACAAAGGGAAAAATCCCCCTCACAAGGCGACAAGGCAGCTCGAGGACGAAACCAGTCACCTCGCACCACATCAGCATCGTGCCCCCACGTGGGCGCACGTGGTCTTGTCCCCCATAGCCTAGTATAAATACTCATGTAAACCTCAGAAAGAGGGATCCGAATTCATTCTCTCTAAACTCCCTTGTAAAAGCACCCGTGCATTCTCCGTTATAATACAAACTGGGCTACAGGTCTTCCACTTAAAGTCCTACCGGTCAATCTGCGAGTTTTTACCTTTCTTACTTTGCCAAATCAAGCAAACTATTCTAGACCCGGTCTAGTATAGTTTGACCGGTCAAGTAATTTACACCATCATTTTTGGCGCCACCCGTGGGACCGTTAAGGTTTCTTCTCCTAAACACAAACCTACCCACCAAAACACCACTCGAAATGTCTTCCAGCCAACAAATCAATGCTACTTCCGCTGAGGTGCAGGCCACCAACGAGGGAGCCAGCATCCCTGTGGCTGCTACCAAACCGGTCATTTCAGCCCCGGTGTTGCCTTTGGGTCTTAGCTCTGTCCCGACGGCCAGCATGATCAGTCCCTTCGCGACCCCCGTCCCTTCCGCTGAACCGAGGGTCACGTTCCCACCAAGCATGACCCAGTTCATGAATGACCCAGCCACCCTACAAGCCATCCAGGGCTTTGGCTAGGTCATGGCCATGTGCCAACAGAGTGGGGGGATGCCTTTTCTCCCTGGTATGTTTCCGTTCGCTCTTCCAGGCGTGGGAACCATGCCCTTACAAGCTCTGATGGCGGTGGCGTCGTTCCAGACGCCGGTGCCGCAGCCATCACCTTTCCAGCCCCAGCTGGTCAGCACCATGGCCCCTGTCAACTTGGCCGGCGCACTTAACGCTACAGGGCCGTCGCGTCCCCCGCAAGGTACGAATCCGCAAGTCACCTTTGATGGTCATTGCGTCTCAATTGAGAGTGATGACGGCGAGTGGGACATTCCAAGGTCCCACAAGAAGAAGAAAGGAAAAAACATCCGGCCAGCGACCTCCCGAAACTCCGCCTTCGAACGGCTGGGGGATAGGGAGGAAGGCCACAGGAAGTCAGCCAAGCAAAGGCTGGGGCAGAGCGTTGCCCATGTCAGCGCGTTCGCCCGGCTAGGCGAGGTGCGGGAGGCCGAGCCTGCCCGCACCCGGCGCTCCCGGTCTAACCGGCAGGAGCCAGCGAGGACGAGGGCCTCTCGTCAAGAAGAGGAAGCAGAGAGCTAGCCCAGGTTACCGGTGGCAAACCGGTTGACCATCCCAAATGACCGCGTCCAGCAGATGGAGGCAAAATTGGAAAGGCTGGAAAGGAAGGTCGGGGAGAAGAATGACCGGGACAAACCCTTGGCGGGGTCCCCGTTCACCACAAGGGTCCATCTGACACCTTTCCCGCGAAAGATCAAGATTGACGCCCCTAGGTTCACTGGGAAGGAAGATCCGGAAATCCATCTGGATTCCTTCAACCAGAGTGCGACCATGAACGGTTGCACCGATGAAGAAAAGTGCCTTCTTTTCTTCCAAACCTTGCGGAACCGAGCCACTGAATGGTTCAATAAGCTTCGCCCGGGAAGCATTGATTCGTTCAGTGATTTGGCCTCAAAATTCAAGGCCAAGTTCCAGGAGAATTGTACTAAGAGGAAGAAATTCATCTATCTTAGCACGGCCGGGCAGAGGGAATCTGAGAACCTTACTCAGTTCCTTACCCGGTGGAAGGAAGAGGTAGACAAGGTGGAAGAGATGGATGACAAGACCGTTTTATCCCTCCTCTTGAATGGCTTGCGTGCCGAGGAACTATACAAAGAGTTCTGCCGGAAATCCCCAGCCACGTACCAAGAGGCCTACCATACCGCATGGGAGTTTGCTGAAGCTGAAACCCAGCTCCGGGCAAAGAGAGAAGCTGAGCATGGTCACAAATCCAAGCCGGTGCAAGTCAAGAAGGAAGAAGCACCGGGACCTAGCCGGCCGAGGCACCACTATGACCCGGTCATCCGAGTGGTCAATACGGAAGAATGCCAAGAAGTCCGGAAAGCACCGGTCATTCCTCCAGAAAACCCTACCGGTCAAGTAGGGCGGCAGTGGTCGGGCACCTATTGTTCGTACCACAGGTCAGATTCCCATAACACCTCCGAATGCAAAAGTGTTAAGGGGGTCATCCAGCATATGATCGACAGTGGAGAGCTGGGCAAAGATTACTTGCAGAAAGCCTAGGAGAAGAGTCATCAACTGCCCCAGGGGATGACCGGGACAATGACCGGCGGAGGAATAACCGGCCAAGGGAGCGGCAACCTGCTCCCGAAAAAGAGCACATCGGCATGATCTTCGGCGGACCTGAGGGTGGAGATTCAGCCGCACAACAGAAGAACTGGGTTCGGAGCATTTACGTTGGGGAGGTAAGTGCTGAACCGCCCAGGCGTAAACATACTAGGATGGAGCCGATCGTCTTTACTGACTGGGATCTCCCTCCTACCGGTGAAGATCACAATGATCCATTGGTCATCACCATGGACATTAATGGGGTGGACGTCGCCCGGGTACTTGTTGACACCGGCAGCAGTGTCAACATCTTATACCTGGAGACTTTCCAAAAACTCAGGTTGTGTCGGACACAACTTGAACCCCTCAAAACCCCTCTCTCAGGCTTCACGGGAGACACCGTTGAAGCTGAAGGATCCATAGTTCTACCGGTCGAACTAGGATCAGGTGAAAAGACCGTGTGGAAGAAGATGCGGTTCATAGTTGTGGACATCAAATGCGTCCACAACGCAATTCTTGGAAGGCCAGGCATCAATAAGGTCGGGGCGGTGATTTCCATGCCCCACCTGTGCATGAAGTTCCACACTCCAGGTGGTGTGGGTGAGGTGAAGGGTGACCAGAGGAATGCCCGGGAATGCTATGCCCGGGCAGTCAAGAAGATGACCAAGGGGGTCAATGTCATCTCCCAAGAAATCACAAAGGGAGAGACCCGGGAGAATTTGGAGCCCGAGGCCGAGACGGTGGAAATCGAACTTCACCCGGGCGATTCTTCGAGGATGGTCAGAGTTGGAGCAAATCTCCCCGAGGATCTCAAGGCAGAGATTACGCGGGTCCTCCAAGAATACGCAGGCATATTTGCATGGAGCATGGCAGATATGCCCGGAGTAGATCGCTCTGTTATCTGCCACCGGTTGGCCGTGAGGGAAGACAGTCGACCGGTACGTCAGAAGAAGCGGTACCTGGCCAGTGACCGGCGAGACTTCGTCAAGAAGGAAGTGAAGGACCTCCTTAGTGTGGGTCACATCCGGGAAGTCAAATACCTGGATTGGCTGGCCAACGTTGTCCTTGCTCCCAAGGGCGACACGTGGAGAATGTGTGTGGATTATACGGACTTGAACAAGGCTTGTCCGATGGATTCATACCCCCTTCCTAGTCCAGATCAAATGGTGGATGAAACTGCGGGGTGCGAACTCCTAAGTTTCATGGATGCCTTCAAGGGTTATCACCAAATCTACATGGCCAAGGAAGATGAAGAGAAGACGTCATTCCTCACACCTGAAGGAACCTACTATTACCGGGTAATGGCGTTTGGCTTGAAGTGTAATACCCCGTATCAAGATGGGAATGGGAAGAGCTCAAAAGAATTGATAGTACTACTCATACCAACAAGGTGCATCTTCTTTTAGTAAGCTCATTACCTAAAAAACTCTAAAGTTAAGCGTGCTTGACCTGGAGCAATTTTAGGATGGGTGACCCCCTGGGAAGTTTTCTTTGGGCGCACACGAGTGAGGACAAAGTGTGCGGGAAAGACTTGTGTTGGTTTGTGGGGCCAGTCTACAATCCTATGAGCAGACACTTACGGCCAGGGTGGGGGCCGGGGTGTTACATGAAGAACTCGGGGGCAACCTACCAGCGCATGGTGAACAAACTCTTCAAGCCACTACTGGGAAAAGACCATGGAAGCATACGTCGACGACATGCTGATCAAAAGTCAGGTATCTCTCAACCATCCGGCTGATATGCGAGCCACGTTCGATATCATGGCAAAATACAACCTCCGGCTGAATCCTAAGAAATGCGTCTTCGCGGTTCGTACCGAGAAGTTCTTGGGATTCATGGTAACCAAGAGAGGTATAGAGCCCAACCCAGAGAAAATCCGGGCCATCACTGAAATGCAAGCCCCTACCTCCGTTAGGGATGTTCAAAAGTTGACCGGTCGCCTAGCGGCCCTCAGCCGGTTCCTTTCCCGGTCAGCTGAGAGATCCCTCCCCTTCTTCAAAGTTCTGAAGAAGGCCAACACATTTGCATGGGACGAAGAATGCCGGAGGGCATTTGAGGAGCTGAAAGAGTACTTAGCGTCAGATATTGTATTGTCTAAACCCAAACCGGGTGAAACTCTGTATCTGTACCTGGGAATTTCCCCAAATGCTGTAAGCTCCGTTTTAATAAGAGATGATGGGGCGCAAAAGCCCATTTATTATATGAGCAAAGCACTAAACGGAGCTGAGAGTCGATATACGACGATGGAAAAGACAGCCTATGCGCTTTTCATCGCCGCAAAAAAGTTAACATCCTACTTCCAAGCTCACCCGGTAGAAGTCTTGACTGACCAACCGCTGGGTGCGGTGTTGCGAAATTCAACATCCTCCGGGAGGATGGTGAAGTGGGCGATGATGTTAACTCAATTCAACATTGAGTACCGGCCAAGGTCGGCAATCAAGGAACAGGCCCTTGCTGACTTCCTGGTAGAAATGACCGATCTAACTCCAGACCTACCGGTCAACAAGCCCGCTGAGCAATGGTGGGAGATGGCAGTTGATGGGGCATCCGGTCCTAGAGGATACGGGGGTGGTATCGTGTTCACCACCCCAGAAGGGTTCAAGATCTACCATGCAATCGTCTTCAAGTTCAAGCTGACAAACAATGAGGCAGAGTATGAAGCTCTGGTTGGAGGGCTCAGGCTTGCCCAAGCCCTGAAAATCAGCCGGGTCAGTATCAAATCGGACTCTAGCCTGATTGTTGGGCAAGTGACCGGTAACATGGAGGCAAGGGAAGAACGCATGGCACAATAGAAGGACCTTGTACTTGCCATGTTGAAAGGCTTCGAAGAGTTCAAGATCGCCCAAATTCCCCGGGCAGAAAACGCGGATGCAGACCTTCTCTCCAAATTGACACAGTATGCTCCCGAGCATGTTTCAAAACTTGCCCGGGTAGAGATCCTTGACCGTGCAAGCATCGAAAAATTGGAAGTAGCCGCTATAACGGCCGGAAGCCAATCTGATCGGTCAAACTTGGTCGGGGCGGACGACCATTGGATGTATGATCTGATGGAATATTTGATGGATGGGAGCTTGCCAGAACAAGATGACCGGGCAAGAAAAGTGAAGCTCAGGGCACCCCGATTCCAGGTTCTTGATGGAAAGCTGTATAAAAGGGCATTTGGGGGGCCACTCCTGAGATGTCTAACCAACCGGGAGGCCGAGCGAGTCATAGCGGAGGTCCACGAAGGCATATGCGCGGCGCACCAAATGTCTCGTACGCTTTCCCAGCGCATCATCTTATTGGGGTATTACTGGCCAACAATTGTCCAGGATTATGAAAGGTATGTTCAGAATGGCAGAACATGCCAAGTGTTCTACAAGTATCCCGGTAGACCAGCAACCTACTATCACCCCGTGTCGAATGTCATCCCGTTCGCTAGATTCGGGGTTGATATCATTGGAGCCTTTCCAGTCGCCCAAGGAGGGAAGAAGTTCGTAATCGTAGCCATCGATTACTTCACCAAATGGATCGAGGCCGAAGCAATGGCCAGCATTACCACGCAACAATGTAAGAAAAATTCATTTGGAAGAACATAATCACGAGGTTTGGAGCACCCATGAACCTCATCACTGACAACGGCCCGCAATTCCGAAATCCAAGATTCACCGAATACTTGGAGGGCTTCGGAATCAAGCACAATCGCTCTTCGGTAGCGTACCCCCAGGGAAATGGCCAAGTCGAAAACGCCAACCGAACGATTGTGGACGGTCTAAAGAAACGGCTGGGAGAAGCAGGAAACAAGTGGCTGGAAGAGCTCCCACACATCGTATGGGCATTCCGAGTAACACCCAGGAGGGTTCACGGGGAAACTCCATTCTCCCTAACCTATGGGTGTGAAGCAAGGCTGCCCATCGAAGCTGAATTCCCAACGTTCCGGGAATCAAATTATCAACCCCAACAAAATAAAGAAGACCACTTGGCCGAGCTCAACTTGGTCGAAGAACGAAGAATGGCCGCGGAGGTTAAAATGAGTACATACCAACAAGTTGTGAAGAAATACCATGACAACAAGGTTGGGCCGCGGTACTTCCAAGTTGGAGATGAAGTCCTACGAAGAAGAGAAGCAAGTAGACCTGGCGATGGAGGAAAGCTGGCAAGAAACTGGGAAGACCCATACAGGGTTAGAGCCGTCATTCGACCAGGAACATACCGGTTAGAAACTTTAGATGGTGTACCGATAGAAAGAACTTGGAATTCCCACCATCTTCGCAAGTTCTACAAATGATTGTAATACTAGGCGAGGCCTAACTACATTATCAATCAAAGTGATGTTCAATACTCTACTTGGTAACGGCAGAATTGATAGGTCGAACCTATCCTAGGAGGGCTTCCCGGGTGGATCGAATCCACTTGGATAAGCCAACTGAGACACAGGCCCGGACCTGGCACGCTGGTTACTACACCGGTCTTGCTCAGTATAATAGAAAAAATATTAAAACTCGGAAGAGGGGCCCAGAAGAGGGTATGCCTGCAAGAGGGCTGGACCTCGAAGAGGGTTCGAACCGTACTTACACGGGCCCATGAGGTTTGACCGGTATCGGGGAATCAGCCAGTACCGTCAAATTGATTGGGGACTAAAAGATGCCCATTAAAAGAAATTGAAGGGGATCGTCCGTCGTGGCGCATCCAGTTTCCCCCTTCTCAAGGAAGACTTGAACGGGGGGTGAGCTAAGGCCTTCCCGGGATAGTAGAAATCAAAGGGCCATTAAAAGACTTAATCACCCGGAAGAGGGCGCCCTGGAAGAAGGGTGCATTTGAACCTTGGAGAGGGTTCGAAACCATTCGACATGGTTACATCTCCAGTATTCTTACCGGTTAAGGATACTTCAAGAATTACTAGGTTACAGGTGTTTCCATCTACAACCTACCGGTCAAAAAAAAAGAATACCTCGGTCGGGTATGGGCACAACAGAACTTCGAAAGTTCCACAAGGCAAGGCAGATGACCGGTCAGACCAGGGAATAGAACCTACCGGTCAAACTGTACTTTATCAAAGAATTTGTGAAGCTATCCAAAAAGCCAAAGTAAAGTTCAGCTGGTTCACTCTAGTTTAACCGGGTTGGACTTAGCGTATTCAAAAACAAGCCAAGAAAGCAAAAATCAAGGTTTGACCGGTCAAAGTTACTCGAGCTAATCCTTTAGATGAAGTGATCAAAGAGAACTTTGAAGTTCCACCGGTCGAAAACAATTGAGAAGTGGCCTGATTTATGTACCGGTCAGAATTTCTATGATGGTATTCTAAGAAGCAAGAGCGAAGTATAAATCAACAAGCAAGCAGATATGGAAGATTAACCGGGTAGGAAAACAAACATGGCATTCAAACGGAACAAGCATGTTAAATGTTTACAAATACACCGGGCATACCCGGGGAAATTGATAAGGTTTCAAGTTTTACAAAAATAACCGGGCGCAGCCGGGGAGATCCTAATCTAGGGGGAAAGGGGGAGTTGGATCTTCCTCCGGGATGGGAGCCAGGCCGTAGGAAGCCGCGGTGAAGGCCGGGTCTCTCTTCAGAAGGATCCGGTGGGAGGCTGCCCGGTCTTTCTTTTGGCCGCTTTTGAATCCAAAGGACCCAATCGTGGTTATCATCTTCTTTCCTTCAGGCTCCCTGTACAGAAGCCTGAAGGATTCCATGGTCGCTTCTGGGCTCGCCGTCATCACCCGGGCAACTTCGGCTTTGTTTTCCTCAACCCAGGCAGCTGCGCGCCCGGGGAAGTTTTCTTCCTTTTCCGCCATCTCCCTTTTGGTTTCGGAGACCTCGTCCAGCAGCTGACCGTTCTCCTCCTTCAACCGGGTGTTCTCGGCTCCCAAGGACCCGGCCATCTTTGACAACTTGGCCAACTCATCCGTCTGGCTCTTTAGGATGAGGGCCAACTCTTCGTTCTTCTTCTTCAGCCTGGCCACCTCGGTGGGAGAGTCCATTCCCAACCGGTCGGCGGTGATGGGGCCAATCTCCCCAACCTGCACAGCGTACAACAACCCGGTCAATCTTTGTGTAACATAAGATAAAGGGTGACCGGTGACGAGAGATGACTTACCTCTCTCAGCCGCAGACCAAGGTTGATGTAGGCCTCCTCCACGGTCTACTAGGCCGCGCCGGAGTCTGTCCTCTGCCTCTTGTTCATGGCAGAAGGTTGGTTGGTGGCCACCTTCTTGGTCCGGCGACCGGCCTTCTCTTTTTCCTTCCCCTTAGACCGGTTGTCTTGGGGTTCGTCCTCATCCAAAATCTCCACGGTCTCTTGGTGGACCAGGAAGGTTCTGGCAGGGTTGGCTTGGGAGCTCCCGGTGTCTCCCGCTGGTTGGTCGTCGGGGATGGCGAACTCTTCGAACTCCATATCTGCAAAAGAAACTAAAACCGTTAAGTACAAGTAGTTTGACCGGTCAACTACGAATCACAAGAAAAGTGAAAAGTACCTGGGTGGTTCTGGCCCTCAGCCTCTGCAGTGTTGCCCGGGGAGGGTACCCCGCGCCCCGCTGCTTCATGGGCCTGGGAGGTACCCTCACCACCCGACTCCACCCTCCAAACCCAGCTGCCATAATGGAAGATCCTCCCGGTGAAAGGATCCCCGCGCATGAGGACCTCAAGATTCGCTTCCAAGTCTGGGGAGGAAGCCGATGCAGCATACTCTTGGTGGAGGAGATGGTCGTTCCATTTCAGACCAGCCAAAGGAGTGACAAAGGGGGGAAACTCGATGAAAACAAACTTTTCCTTCCATCCCCGGTTACTCTTGGGGGACTTCGGAAATGAACTTCCTACCGGTACGGGCTTTGAAGAATACAAAGCCTTCGCAGCCAGATCCGCCCGGTAGGACTTCAAAGCAAAAGAGAAAAAAACGCAAAGAGGGGAAGATTTTCAAATGAGTACAGATATTTACAAAGGAATGGAGATACCAGTGGGCGTTAGGTGTTATTTGACCAGGCAAAATCCTAAACGCATGGCAGACTTCGGTAAGGAGGGGGCGAAGGGGAAAAACTATGCCCGCATCCAGTGATATGGTATGGAACCCTATCCTATCCTCCCGGTGGGGTTCGACAATGTTGGGCCAGTTGGGTTCATACAGGAGGGTATACCCATCCGGGAGCCTCCTACGAATTTTATTCAGAGCGATTTTGGATACACGGGAAGGGATGTCAAGGACGTAGAAAGTGGGAAGCGGAAAGTAACCGGCAGCATGAAGCCGCTCCTCCCATGCATCCCGGGTTTCGTTTTCAGGGTCGTAGGGACCCGGTTCGTCATCGACCGGGTCATCCCTCCCCACGAAAGTTTCACCGGTCATCTGGTTAACAGGATGCGGGTCGGGAATAGAGGAGTTGGGAACCTGACCGGGCGTGGAGTCAAGAGAAGAAGACCCGGTCGAGGAGGAGGAGTTGGAGTCCTCAGAGGAGCGGTCCTCTGAGGACGAAATCCTATCGCTAGAAGAAGACATGACCGGGAAAGAAAGTAGAGGAGGAAGGGGAAACTTACTTGACTCGGAGGGCTGGATAGCGAAAGAGAAGGAACTTGACCGGTGAAAGCTCTGGAAGGCGAAGTGCGAAAAGTGAGAAGAGAAGGGGGTTGGAGGCCTTTATATAGGAAGAGGAGGGCTGAAAGGAGCGACGTGGCCTCTTCAGGTTGCGCCGCGTCAGGCGGCGCAATGATGACCCACTGGCAGGCGAAACGACGGGTCTGCAGCCGACTGATTGCAACGGTTGATGCGCGACACGTGGCAAAAATCAAAGTTTGAAATTCAAATATCAAAAATTTTAGGCGGGAAGAGCCAAAATTTCAAAATTGGAGTCCTATTTCAGACTTTTTACTTCCCGCTCATGACAAATTGCATGACCGGGAAGTGGAGGGCTTATTGATGGGTGTATTCCACCCACGACCGGTCAAAGGAGAAGACCAATTAGTTGACCGGTCAATCTCGAAAGTTTTGGAAGGGAGACTTAAATCGTCAGCAAAACGATATATCATCGGCCAAAAGATGACCGGTATACTTCACGAAAAAGTATACCGGTCAAATTACGTTGTCATCCTATTTATTCCCAGACTTCGATGAATTCATCCCTCGGAGATTACCCGGTGTAGTTTCTAGGGTTGAAAAGTGTCGGCCGAGAATCTATGAGGGCTTGGCGTGTAGCGACCCATGTCAGTAGAGGACAACTAGAGATGCTGAAGAATCCATCCAAGGCACTACTCGACAAAAGGAATAATCCCCCTCACAAGGCGACAAGGCAGCTCGAGGACGAAACCAGTCACCTCGCACCACATCAGCATCGTGCCCCCACGTGGGCGCACGTGGTCTTGTCCCCCATAACCTAGTATAAATACTCATGTAAACCTCAAAAAGAGGGATCCGAATTCATTCTCTCTAAACTCCCTTGTAAAAGCACCCGTGCATTCTCCGTTATAATACAAACTGGGCTACAGGTGTTCCACCTAAAGTCCTACCGGTCAATCTGCGAGTTTTTACCTTTCTTACTTTGCCAAATCAAGCAAACTATTCTAGACCCGGTCTAGTATAGTTTGACCGGTCAAGTAATTTACACCACCAAACTCGATGTAGTAAAAGATCAAACTTTAGAAACTCAAATTACAGGTAGCAATAAAAATGTATTTTAAAAGCAGAATTAGATTGATATTGTCAATGTATTTTAAAAATAATTTTTCCGACATCTAATAATTAAGGATTACTTTCTCAATTTTATATTTAACTTGTTTCTAAAGTCTATTGTTTTTTTCATTTTTAAGAATAATAATAATAATAATAATAATAATAATAATAATAATAATAATAATTGGATCTGATCTGACCTGATTAGATCTGATGTGATCTAATCTGATTGGATATGATCTGATCTAATTTGATCTGATCTGACATGTAATAATAATAACAATTGTATACCCTGTTAATTGTACCATTTTCATTCTTATCATAATAACATGATTTCAGCTTTCAACAAAATATGGTTTCATATATCAGTTAAATCAAAATTGAATTAATCAATCCAATTTTCTTGCCAAAAAACCAAATCTAATGGACCGAATTGATGTTGATCAATTAAACAAATCAAGGTCATATATTAGAAGCAATGGTGATTTAGTAATAAAAAATGGACAGCATTTGTAATACCTCCATCTCACCCAAGAAAATGTTATCATATTTCTCTCTTATTAATGAACGTTTTAACTTGAGGAGAAAATTCATTCTCCCAATTCGCATTAGGAGATATTGCACTGCAGTTTCATGCTTATTTTTTTAGTGCAATGTGATCAAATAGAGTAATGGAATTGCATTTTACTGAATTATTTTTTTAAAGAATACTACGGAGCACACAAAGATTCTTACAATAAGAGTCTTGGATACGAAAATATCAAGAAATTTAGTAAGAAAAGAAAAAATAATAATTTTGTTCTCATTTTCTTTTATTTTTACTTTTCTTTTTTCTCTCTAACCAAACAAGAAAAACATTTTCTTTTTCATTCTCTCTCTAATTGATTAAACCAAACATAGTATTAGAAATTTCAGTAGGAGTTGAAAGAATTTTCCAAAATTGATTATTATGAACTGGAAGAATTCTCAAAAAAAAAACATTCTATTCGGAGATTTGTTCTTTAAATTTAAAATAAAAGATTTATATTTAAATATGTAGACATTTTTCTAATGAACGATACCGTACATTGTTTATACTCAAATTTATATTTTAGCATAGGATTCAACTTAAATTCGAAAAAAGTAATTCAAATTTGGAATACACATAACAAAATTTCGATCTAATATTTATATATATTCTGCATTCGAAAACGGGTGGCCATGATACTTTCCGCCAAGTATTGATTCAATGATTCCCTATCATCCAAAAACAAACATTCTTTACTCTATAAAAATCATTCAATGGATTGGGCACCGAAAGAGTGCTGAGCAAACCGATAGATCCCTAATCTATTCAATGATTATCAGAGGCTATAGAAGAAGAAAAGAAAGGGGCAAATATGTTAAAGCAGTAAACTTATTAAATTCATAGATGGATAGATCCCAACAAGCTCCTCAAGAAAAAAAGAAGCGATAAAAGCAGAAAACACAGTCACAGCAGAGTAGTAAATTCAAACACAGACGCTAAAAGTAATCGAGGGAGACACACAGAAAGATAGACGGAGCAAACGGATCTAAGAGAGTTGGCCGCAGTCAGCAATCACCACCGGTTTCGCGGTTGTTCCACTACCTGATCCAAAATTCTCCACCTCTTTTATGACGTTATAGCCATCAATGACCTGTCCGAAAACGACGTGCTTGCCGTCGAGCCACTCGGTCTTTACAGTGCAGATGAAAAACTGAGAGCCGTTGGTTCCCGGACCGGCATTCGCCATGGACAGAATGCCGGGACCGGTGTGCTTCTTAATGAAATTTTCGTCCTTGAACTTTTCACCGTAGATCGACTCGCCTCCGGTGCCGTTTCCCTTGGTGAAGTCACCCCCCTGGCACATGAAATTGGGGATGACGCGGTGGAACGGGGATCCCTTGTAGTGAAGGGGCTTGCCGGACTTTCCAACTCCTTTCTCCCCGGTGCAGAGTGCGCGGAAATTCTCAGCGGTCTTAGGAGTCGTATCGGCGAAGAGCTCCATCACGACGCGCCCGGCCGGAGAGCCACCAATGGTGATGTCGAAGAACACTTTGGGATTAGCCATGACTTTCTCTGGATCTCGATCTCGATCTCTCTGCGTGCGGTGGCTAGGGCTTGTGGATGCGTTGCCTATATAGGGAAGACAGACGGTGCATTGTATCATGAAAATCAATCTTGGCCGTTCATCGCGCCACGTGGCTGCGCCGGGCGTGCGTGGTTGGTTAAACCCGACCATGGTTGCTTGGAGTCTTGACTATGGTTAGATCTGCGCGATCTGGGATGGGTGGATCGCATCATGCCATTCGAATTCCGTCCGAATATGCTTTTCAAACCGTCAGCACATTCGGATTTCGGAAACAACCCTACGGCCCATTCTTTTGAAACGCCACCCTATGGCCCATTAAACTTTTTCTTTCCATTTTTATTTCAAAAAAAAAAACCCGTATAGTTTAACAGTTTAACCATTAATTTCTTAATATTCAACATTTGAGAATATTTGTTTATCCCCTTTAATGTAAAATTAGCAATTAATTCCTGATAGAAAGAGTAAAAAATATTCTACCTTATGTTCTGTCGATTTCTAACTTTTAACTTCTAAGATTTTGTAATTTCTTTAACATTTTTTGGTATTTTTTAACGCTTCCCAGTTTATTCCAAATTTCATTCTTTTTTCCAAAAGTGACTTAAAATTATACATACTACTGTTTCAGTTATTATTCTAATTACTATTATTTTTATTAGGGAGCGTCTAAAATGACACCAGTTACTTATACACCAGTTGCTTACACTAGTTCGTTTGGGGTACGTACGGTGCCCCGTTTGTACAAACGACAGTTCCTACCTCCCCTAACCCTCCCCCTAAACCCCCCAACCCA